AGGGAAAAGCTCATCAGAGGGTTTTTATAACATAAAAAGTGGCAAACAACCCAAATGTCCCTCAACAAGACCAATAAATTGGGTTTCTCATGTAATGGGATACTATACAGTAATCTTAAATAACACTGTGGATCTATATTAATCAATTTATGAAGGTGTGAATAAAGCAGCTTACAAAGCATGTATTGCCCAAATGCTCACCATGGTTATCTTAGGTGGTGGGTATTGAGTTGTTATTTAATTGATTGTTTACAGTATTCAATGTTGTTTACACGTTACAATTTTATGATTAAAACACTGTCATTAAAAATTGGGGGAAAAATGTTGGAGTCGACTTCATACAAATTTCCAAGTCTGGCAAAAAATATGTCAAATGTGGTTTATGAAAGAAGTCTGACCCCCCAGTATCAGTAGGGGCTCAACTGTCCATCTTGTGTGAGAAATGGAGGTAACATGACGAGGAACAAGCAGATTTTAAAAGTGAATTCAGATTGCTCTGCTGTCCTTGGGACAACTCAGTGAGGAAAGAGGCAAAAGGATATCATACGCATTATCTCAGTAAATCCAACTACATCCATATAGAAAAGGTGTTGTGATGCCCAAACCACAGATGTGAAAACTGAGGCCCCGGATCAGCTCACCACGAATTAGTGGAGCCAGGATTTGAAACCACAAGGTCTACCTGATGTAAGACTAGTGCTTTGGTCCCCTAATCTTAGCAGAGCTCCAAACAGCCAGCCAGCTGCCTGGCGCCCCCTCCCTCCCACCCGTAACCTATTGTCCTTAATGTGAACCCACCCCAAGCCTCCGTGTTCAGGACCCGCCCCAGTACCCATTGGCACCTCTCACCAGAGCTCCTCCGCCTCCCTCTGTGCCTGCAGCCGCGCCCTCTCTGCAATCAGCTCCTCAGAGATCTCTTCATAGGGCTTGTCTCCAGGGCCTTCTCCCATAACCCAGACCCAGACTTCGCCATCTGCCCCCAGGAGCCACTGGATGTGCTTGTCACTCGCTGCCTCACAACACAGAAAGAACAAGGAAGGAAGGAAAAACAGGTCTGAGTTGTACTGAGTCAGGAATGACCTGGGCTGGCCACGGGTGCACAACCATCATGCCACCCTACAAAACGTGGTCATCTGCAAAGAGGATGCCAGAGAGACATTGACCTGAGTGCAGGTCCATGGCCATCTCCCTCTCCCACTCCCTCTAGGGAGCAATATGTCAGTCAAGTCAGCCTGCTGGAGCAGGTGTTCAAAGCTGGAACTGGTGTCCAAAGCCCAGAGACCCTTAAATCTTCAGCACAGAAGACATCAGGTAACAGCACTCGCTGAAGCGAGACTTGTGTCACTCCCAAGCCAAGGCAGTTAGGAGCCTGGGAGTCTCTCTCTCTCTCTCTCTCTCTCTCTCTTTCTCTCTCTCTCTCTCTCTCTCTCTCTCTTTCTCTCTCCCTCCCTCCCTCCCTCCCTCTATCTCTCTATCTATCTCTATCTCTATCTCTGTCTCTATCTCTATCTCTATCTCTATCTCTATCTCTATCTCTTCTGTCCATTGGCTGGAAATAAGGAATTGGAGATGGTGTCATTGCAAGATGAAGCAGCTGGCCCCTGAGTCTCCCTGACCCACATCAGCCTGTAACCTGAGCAAGAAATAAACCTGTGTTGGATTAAGTCACTGAGATTTTTCAGTTTGCCTGTGCTAACAGATTCCATTGATAACCATGACTAAAATGGAAATCTAAAGTGGGGTACTGGCTGAAACAGGAGTATCAACTAAGTGTCACTGCCTTACCAGTGATGTTTAGCAGGCTGAATGGCTGGAGATCCACGTGATGCAGGAGCAAAGCATCTGGTAAAGTTATCAGACACTATCACTTAAAAGGCAGACCCTCCTGCCTTCTGAACCTGTCCCCCCTAAGGGAAGATATTGGAAAATAGAACTTTGGTAGTGGGTTGGTTGCTAGGAGCTGTGTTTGGCACGGTGTTAAGTTCAAGGAAGAACTGAGCGCTTTGCAAGTAGAAATGAAAGGGAATAAAGAGAATATAGAAATCTGGGACTTTGGAGGTTTGGAAAAGCCATCTCTTTCTAGGGCCCGAACTGCAAGAGATGGGATTTTTAAAGGTTTTGCATGACTGGTCCAGTAAAACTTTTAAGGTGAATAAAGGGCCCTAGGACACAGATCTCTGTGATGGTCATGAGAATGTGCTCCATGGACATCCCACAACAGGGAGCATAAGTGACTGTGCACTCCAGCTCCTATGCCCTTGTGTTTGCCCAAGAGGAGGCTCCCAGCCTTTGACTGAGCATGGCAGGCTGGTTCCTGGGAGACATGGGACTCCACTGATGGGCAACTCCCCGGAGGCCTTGACAAACCTTCCCTGGACTGCGTGGCTGCCTGGAACACCTCCAGCCAGCCTGCCGTCCCCCTCTCCTTCACTCAAGGTCACGCCTGCACTGCAGTGCGACGGCTCTCCCAGCCTGCTCCTTTTCCTCTCACAGGCATTTCCTGAACAACAGCCTTGTGTGATTTTTCTCCCAACCCTGTCTCTGCCTCTCACAAGCACACTCAGACTGCAATCTCTCACACTTATTTTTCAAAGAGCCTAACGTAGATGACCTTCAGTCGAAAGGCAGACGCATCAGAGTAAAGAGGCAAAGAAAAACAGGCAATTTGCGAAATATGTCCAGAGGAGAATCTTCGATGTTGCTCCCGGCACGTGGAAGCAAACAGATCAGAAGCCTCCCAAGTCTCTGAGTCTGGACTAAAACAGCCTCTGATTGTTCAAGACTTAAACAACCATTGGGCACCCAGCCTCGATGACCAGGGGGCAGGTTTCAAAGGCTATACTGGTCCAAGGAGGGTGCGACCCTCAACACTCACTCTGGATGTGGCCAAGGGGAACAATGAACAAGAGGAGCCTCCAGGGCACAGACAGCATCCATTCAAGGCCATCCCTTCACTGTCAGGGCAGGGGGACCTCGCAGAGCCTGACCTGGAGGATTTCAGGATGCTATAGACTAGTGATTGAGTGGGGCTCACACTTCCCCCTTTTCCATAGCGGATATTCTGACCCTGCTCCCCCACTGTATATCGTGTCTTAAAGGTGGGCCGTGTTAGGATGACATGTCTTTTTAGCCATATCAGGACCTTAGAGTGCCTAACGCAGAACACGTGCAGACTGTGAACTTTGGGTTGATGCAGTGACCGGGTGAGACTTGCGGGCATCCCCTTAAGGAGGTGGTGAGTGTATTTATGCAGAGAAGAACAAAACAAGTGAGTAACCAGAATGACAGTTTGTGACAGTGACCACGCTATGTCCAGCACCCCAGCTCCACTCCCTGAGCCCACCAGATGACCACTTTTCTCAGGTTCCCTTCAATTCCATGGGGTCACGTGATTGAACTCTAGTCTGTGGAGCGTCAGGGGAAGTGATTTGTGCCACTTTCAGGCTGAGGCTGGTTGCAATCTGAGTGCCTTTTCCACATTCTCTCTCCCATCCCTTCAGTGGGAAATAAACGACTCCAAGATGGTGGAGAAAAAAGCAGCCTGATCCATGAGTCAGTGTTCGAAAGCAAGCCAGGCAGACAGCTACCTAATCCACATCAAACTGGTGACTTAATCAGAAATAAACCTTCATTATGTTAACCCACTGAAATTCCAGCATTTACCTATTGCAGAAAGCAGCATTAATTCCCCCGGCATTGGTATATTTTTAGTATGTTAAAGCAATATAGTGATAGAGGAATATAAGTTTAATTATGACTGATAGAACCAGGGAAGCAACCACTACTAGAATTGTAGAACTTCCAAATTAAGAGTGGGCAAAAGTAAATAAGAGGCTTACCAATCCTGCAAAAATACTTAAAGGGAAAAGAGAAAACAACAGAAAATGTGTAGTTATTATAGCAGGCACCGTCAGATACTTCCTCATCACCCATTCCAGCCACCTTCCTGCCTTACTAAAAACCCCAGTTTGTTTTGGGGAGTAACAGAGATCCCTTGGTTTCAGGAGAGACAGGTTTCTACCCCAGCCTCAAAGGACAAATAAAATTAGTCTAAACCCATCATGTAAATTTATTCTCCTTGGCAAGTAATCGATCTAGGAGTGACCAGACAGCCCCGTTCTTGACAAAGGAGATGCAGGCAGAAGTCCCAATGACAGGGACTCATTCTCGAAACAAAAGGTGAAGACTTCTTAAGGTTGTAGACAAATACTGTTTGATTCCACTCATACAAGGTACCTAGAATAGTCAAATTCGTAGAGTCAGAAAGTACATTGGTAGATGCCAGGGGCCGGGGGGAGGGGAGGTAGGAGGAGTGGGGAGTTAGTGTTTAAAGGGAACAGAGTTTCAGTTTAGGAAAGTGAAAAATTCAGGAGATGGACGATGGTGAGAGTTGCATAACAATGTGAATGTACTTAGTGCCACCGAACTGTACAGTTAAATGTGGTTAAAATAGTATGTTTTATATTATGCGACTTTTACCACAATAAAAAAACATTAAAAAAAAAAAGGTGAACACTTCTTAGGAGAAGCCCCTTCACTCTTTACTTGTTTACCTCACCTCCTTCTTCCTGCCTGGAATGAAGAAGTGATGCCAGGAGCTGCTGGAGGACTTTTGCAGCCATAAGGAAGAAAGCCACATACTAAGGATGAGTAAAAGCGGAAGGACTGAAGGAGATGGGGCCTTGATGATTTTGCTGAGCAGCTAAACTAATCTATCCATTGCAGTACACCTCCAGAATTCTTATCATTTGAGAAAAATAAGGAACTCCAAGGAATAAAGTTCTGTAATTATTAAATGAAATGTGGTAATAGAAATAAATATGAAAGATTTGTTTAATTAGGCAACTATTAATCATCATTCTGTTACTTACGGCCAAGCACATCCCTAACTGACACAGATGGCAAATGAAAAATAACACAGAATCCCTAAACCCTAAGTATATTCATTAACGCAAAAATGGGAACAGAATTAATATCCCTATTAAAGATCTGAGACTGTCAGATGTAAATAAAAAGTAAAAGACAAACACTGCTTTGGGAAAGACCCTAGATGTTCTCCTTACTGGCTGCAAATAATAATAAATCCTTCCTTGGGGTGGTGGGATGAATTGGGAGATTGGGATTGACATATATACACTAATAAGTATAAAGTAAATAACTGATAAGAACCTGCTGTATAAAAAAAATAAAATTAAAAAAAAAGAAAGTAAAAACCCACTATTTAATGTCATTAATTAAGTCATCACTTTTTGACCCTACTTCTACCAAGGCATATTTCATTATAGCTTCAGTGTCAATTTTCTCTTCTTTTACTAAATTAAAATTCCACTGGAATGGTCACTAAACTAAATCTCTACCGGTGAACATTCTAACCCTGTAATTCTGGGCATAAGGGTGTTTCACATGAGAGCTGTCCTTAGAAAATGCTGCCAGTTATATATATATATATATATATATATATGTGTGTGTGTGTGTGTGTGTGTGTGTGTGTGTGTGTGTGTGTGTGTAT